TTTGTTTTCTTGTATTTTATCGCTCTGCTGACCCTTGGGGTCCATTTTATTTTGGTATACCTTTTCTAGGTACGTTAGCCTGTGACCACGGAAATTGGCCGAGTCAAGTGATGGATTAGTACGGAGAGATTGAGACAGAAGGAGGTACTGGATAGAGAGACCGGGATGGTTTTTAATGTGAAGACAACAACAACAACAACAATCATGTGGTGACAAAGCATTTGGCGTATCTCTATAAACGGCAGTCTAGACAGTAGTCGAAGGGAGCTACAAAAACCCGCCCGATGAGATTCGAGCAAACAGGCCAGACAGGCAATCTAAGCATAACAGCAGCAGTACTTGTGGTGGTAGGGGGACAGATGCGCCGCGAGGACCGCACAAACGTTCAGTCTCTTCAATCACCTGCGGCCTTGTCTTCCAGATCCGCGAAGAAAGGGCTGCTCCTCTCCATCAGGCGGTCGACTCGCGTCAACCTGCTACCCATCTTCTCGGTGTCTTTCTCCTTGACGAAGCCCATGGTTTTCCGCAACGAGCACGCCTCTTCTCGGTGTCCTTCTCCTTGACGAAGCCCATGGTTTTCCGCAACGAGCACGCCTCTCTCAGCAGGCTCGCCGGCCACTTCTCATACCTTTTGGTGCGGTCGCGGTCGATAGACTTCTGCAGCGCCTGGAGGGTCTTCGCCGACCCCGGCGCCCCTACCAACGCGACGTCGCTGCCACTTCCCCTGGAGCCCCCGATATCGCTTCCCCTCGAGCTGCCGCCACCGCTCCCCCTGCCCATCTCCAGGTCGCCATCCGGATCCATGGTGAACGAGTCATCCTCGCTGGCGCTCCCAACGTCGATGCTGTCGTCGCTGCCTCGCGTTTGTTCATCGTCGCCGTCAGCAAAAGCAGGGTCCTGCATCACGGCCGCCAATTCCTGGGCTCTTGTCTTCTTTCCTTTTCTTGAGGAGGCAGGAACAGCAGTGGCCGCCACCACACGATGGCGGCCAGCTCCACCCTCGCTCTGAGTGTTCGTGGCGGCAGCGCCTCCTGTGATTCCGGGTAGAAGCTTCTGGCTGCTGGGCAGCAAGCCTCCACCGCCTACGGCGGCCCCAACCGAGCCGTTTTGACTGATTTGCTGACGGCGACGATGAACAAGCAAGCGCGAGGCAGCAACGACAGCATCGATGTTGGGAGCGCCAGCGAGGATGACTCGTTCACCATGGATCCGGATGGCGACCTGGAGATAGAGGATATGGTACAGCAGTAGAGGTGTCTCGAAGAGGTAGGGGATGGCAGGAGGGGGAGGAGAGTGGAGAGGATCAGGGGGAGAGTGAGAGAGTGAGAGGGTGTTTTGTGACGGGGGGGCGGGGGGGCACAGCCAGAAGATACAACGGTAAATTAGTCAACGCACCCATTCCTACTGGTTTACCGTATATGACACAAGATAACATACCCCCTCGACCGATTCTCAAAGCTCGATTTCTCAAATGCCGGAACAGTTACAGCGCCGAAAACGGCGGCGTTGAAACCGTCTTGTCGAGAGCTTTTCGAAAATTTATCGTTTCGTTCATGCATCCTCTTCGTCGTGGAATCATCGAGCTTTGAAAATCAGTCTAGGGGGTGTGTTATCTTGTGTCATATGCGGTACGTTCCACGTTCCCTTGGCTATTTTGCTGCGGACACGCGTATGTTCCGAATCGATATTCCTTCGTTCCTTCGGGGGTCTCGGTCTCGCCGTCTCGTTCTTTGTTCGTTGTGGTTCGCTGCAGGGCAGTTCGATCGTGAACAACAACTGCTGTTCATCTCGTGAGCCACTGGGAGGCTCACTAGACTAGTACGTAGTCTGCATGAACAAAATTGAAGCGGGCACCACTTGCTTGTGTACATCACGACACATGTACGAGAGGGCGACCTATCGTTCGGCACGTTCAACGTACGCACGCTCGCCTACAGCGGTAGGAACCCCATCGGTCACAACGTGATGACGGTCATGCAGATTTGTTCAGCGACCGGCTGTGATGTGATAGGACTTCAGGAGACCCGACGAGAGGAGCAAGGTTCAATTGCACACGACGGGTACGTGATCATCTGGAGTGGCGCCCGTGCTGGCACTAAGGACGAGAGGGGCTAAACGGTGTGGGCATAGCGATCAAGGCGGCCATGTGGGAGAGTGTGGGCGAGGAAGGTAGGACGGTGGAGTGCATTAGCCCGAGGCTTATGCAGGTTCGTCTACAAATTGGCCGCACCTGCGGAGTAACTTTCGTGGTGGGGTACGCCCCCACGGAAACTGTCCGCACCACCGCGGGCGGTGATGTTAACGCCAAGGACTCCTTCTGGACTGCTCTCGACGCAGCGATCCGGGAGGTTCACAGCCGTGACCATCTCGTGGTGCTAATGGACGCCAACGCACGCACTGGTAGGAGGCGAGACGGGTGCTGCGATGCCAAGATTATGGGCGCGTACGGACGCGACATTCTGAACAACAATGGGGAACGATTGGACTGGCGTCAGACAACCAACTCTCCCTGACCAACACCTACTTCCGGACACCGAAAGGTGGAGTGCAGCACAAAATCCAGAGCTCCAATAAGGGAAAGGAGAAGTACCGCCTCGACTTCATCCTCATGCGTCAGGCGGACCGGCGTTTCGTGCGCAATGTCTCCGTCAAACGTGTCGACTTCAAAGACTCTGACCACAACCTCGTGCTTACGACTGTCC